TATCTTCCCCTTTCATCATCATAGTGTTTCTTAAATGAGTCCGCCACAACAACAACAACAACAAGATTCCATTTATTGAGCGCCTTTCACGTCGGGAGGACGTCCCAAGGCGCTGTACTGTTGGGTCAGGACCCGAGCATTGGGGGGAAATGGTCAGGGTAAGGGGAGGGAAGGGAGGGAATGAGGAGGGGGTAGAGAGTCGAGAGGAGAGCTGAAGGCTGAAGGTAGAAGAGAAAGGTCTTGAGACCGGCCTTGAAGGAGGAAAGGGAGGAAGCGGCGAAGGCACTGGGGGACAGAGTTCCAGAGCCTAGGGGCTGAGAGGCTGAAGGCCCGTCCACCGATGGTAGGGCGGTTGGGGCGGGGGATGTGGAGCAGACCGGAGCCAGAGGAACGGAGGGTACGGGCAGGTAGGTAGGGGGATAGTAGGTCGGAGAGGTAGGAGGGAGCGAGGCCGTGAATGGCCTTGTAGGTGAGGATGAGGATCTTGAATTCGATCCTCTGGGGGATGGGGAGCCAGTGGAGGCGAGCGAGGGCGAGGGGGAGGGCGAGGGCGAGGGTAGGAGTGATGTGGTCGCGGTGTCTGGTGCGGGACAGTACACGAGCTGCAGAGTTCTGAATGACCTGCAGTGTGGAGGGAGGGCCGGGAAGGCCGGCGAGGAGAGAGTTCCCATAGTCCAGCCTTGAGCTGATAAAGGCGTGAACCAGGGTTTCAGCCGCGTGAGGGGTGAGGTAGTGCCATAGTCTGGCGACATTCCGGAAGGCGGTGCCAGTTGTGGCGCGGATATGAGGGAGAAAGGACAGTTCAGGGTCGAACAGAACCCCGAGGTTCCTGATGGCTTTGAGAGGTGGAGAGTGCAGCCTTGGATGCTGATGCTGTCAGCGCCTGAGGTGCGGAGGCGCTGACGTGAGCCAATCAGGAGGGCCTCAGTTTTGTGCACGTTGAGCTGAAGAAAGTTGTCTCTCGTCCAGGACTCGATGTCGGACAGGCAGCTGTCAGGACATCGGTGGTCGTGGAGTTGAGGGTAGAGGAGGAAAGGTAGAGTTGGGTGTCATCCGCATACATGTGGAAGTTAACCCCATGTCTGCGGATGATGTCACCACAGGGGGAGCATATAGAGGGTGAAGAGGAGGGGACCGAGGACAGAGCCCTGAGGGACACCGCACGAGACAGTGCGGGGGGTGGAGGAAAAGCCGTTAGTAGAAACAAAATGAAGACGGTGGGAGAGGTACGACCTAAACCACTCAAGGACAGGGCCTTGAAGGTTGAGGTGGGAGGACAAGCGGTGGAGGAGGATAGCGTGGTCGACCGTATCGAATGCTGCCGATAGGTCGAGGAGGACGAGGAGGCAGAGGGAGCCCTGGTCACAGATGGTCAGGATGTCATTGGTGACCTTGACCAGGGCAGTTTCTGTGCTATGGGCAGCACGGAAACCCGACTGAAGGGGTTCGAATAGTGAATGGTTGGAGAGGAAAGAGCGCAGCTGGGAGGCGACAACTCGTTCCAGGACCTTGGACAGGAAGGGGAGGTTGGAGATGGGCCGGTAGCTTGATAGCTGCGACGCATCAAGGGAGGGTTTTTTAAGGTGGGAGTGATGGTGGCAGTTTTTAAGGGAATGGGAATAGAGCCAGAGGAGAGGGACAGGTTGACGATGTCTGTGATATGTGGGGCAAGGAGGTGGAGCTGGGAGATAAGGAGTGGAGTGGGGATGGGGTCAAGGGAGCAGGTGGTGGGTTTCAGGGATAGGATGAGTTTGGTGACAGAGGGTGGGGAAACGGGTACGAAGGTGTGTAGGGGAGGATGGGTAGGAGTCGGAGTGTGGGAGGGAAGGGGTGGGTGGTGGGTGGATGTTGGAGGGGAAGTGACCGCGGAGCGGATTCCCTTGATCTTGGATTCAAGGAAATCCAGCATCTCCTCGCAGTGAAGGTTGGAGGAGATGACCTGCGCGGGGTGGCGGGGGGGACGGAGGAGTTGGGATGTGGTGGAGAAGAGTAGCCTGGGGTTGTCCTTCGAAGGACGATTTGGCCGAGGCTAGAGTGGAGCGGTAGATTTTGAGGAGGTCCAGCCAGATTTGTCGGTGGACCGTTAGGCCAGATTTGAGGCAGGTGCGTTCAGCGGCCCGCACTTGGGTCTTCAGTGAGCGGAGGTGGGTGGTGAACCAAGGGGAGGAGCGAGAGTAGGGGACAGTACGGGAGGTGATGGGGGCAAGAGTGTCAAGTGAGGAGGAGAGGGTGTTGTGGAGGAGGGTGAGAGCAGAAGAGGGGTCAGTGAGGGTTGAAGGCCAGAGGGAGAGGAGTTCAGAGGACTCCAAGGCAGCGGTTAGGGATTGAGGGGGTAACTTCTTCCAGGGCGGTAGAAGATGGTGGTGGGTCTGGTGGAGGTGGGGAGGGGGGTGGAGGTGGTGAAGGAGATGAAGTGGTGGTCGGAGATGGCCTTGTCGGTGATAGTGACATCCGAGACACTGAGGCCCCGGGTGATCACCAAGTCGAGTGGGTGGCCGTGACTGTGAGTGGGGGAGTTGATGTGGAGGGAGAGGTTGAGCGAGGAGAGCAGGGAAGAGAAATCTGAGGAGATGGAGCAGGAGGGGGTGAAGTGCAGGTTAAAGTCGCCCAGGATGATGAGGCGATCAGAGCAGAGGCAGAGAGATGTAAGTAGGGTGGAAATATCAGAGATAAAGGTGGGAGAGGTTTTAGGGGCCGGTAGAGGAGGAGGATTTTAAGTGAGAGGAAGGAGGGGTGGGAGAGGGTGAGGTGCTCAAAAGAGGGGAAAGAGCCAGAGGAGTACGGGGAGAGGGCAAGTGGTGTCCTTGAGATAAGGGCTACACCACCGCCACGGCGGTTGGGGCGAGGGATGTGGTGGGAGGTGTAGCCGGGTGGTGTGGCCTCCGTGAGGGGGAAGGTGTCGCCTGGGGTGAGCCAGGTTTCTGTTAAGGCCATGATATCAACGTTCTCATCAAGGATGAGATCGTTGATGACCAGGGCCTTGTTACAGAGGGAGCGGACGTTTTGTAGTCCGATGTGGATGGAGCGGTTGACAGAAGGGTGTGTGGGAGGGGAGGGGGGTCCAGGTTGTGAGGCAGGGGTGGGGGAATGGGGATGAGGGAGGAGAGGTTGGCTCCCCGGGTCTGTGTCCGGGGTGGCTGGCGAGTGTGGTGGGGAATGGGGCAGTCGGTGTGGCTGCTGCTGGACAGCCAACGCCGAGTGCCACGGTGAGCCCGGCGGAGGATTCCCAGACTGGAACAGAGGGAGGGGGTGGGAGGGTCAAGTGGGGATAGAAGGCGAGAGGGGCGGAGAGAGAGGAGGACAGAGCGGGAGAGATGCAGAGGGGGGAGGGTTTGGGGGTAGAGAGGAGGGAGGAGGGGGTGAGGGGGCTTGGGTCATACCGGCAGCCATAGTGCGCACACGGGGACCGGGAGCGAGCGGTCAGGTGGATGGAAACATTATGGCTGGGGCTGGGGCAGCCAACCCAACAGGACCATGGTGGGCTCTGATGTGAGTCCTGGGGCGGGGGGGGTCGCAGAGGTTTTTTTTGTTGTTGCGCGCGCACACTCCTGGAAACTACAACTATGACGTCAGCGGTTCCCCCGCTCCGTTCCCTCCTCAACAGCCCCACAGACCATCTGGCTGGACTCCCTGCCGCATCGAGCTTAAGTACCTGAGAAGGTAGGCCCAGGCACCTCCCCGCGCTGTCCTGGCGCCGCTCCCTGTCCGCCACATCCTAAACTGGAATGTGTTAACAGTTAAGTGTAGGAGGGTCCTTCCGACTGATTACACCTCTAGAGCTAAATGCTTTCTGGTGTTTTTCCTCTGGTTCTCCTGAACCTTTAGCCTTTTGTGCTATACATAATAGCTTACCTCGCAGCAGTGAACAAGTATAAAAGGTCAAGGGAAATAGTAAAAAGTTAGCAGAAATAATAATTGATGGTTAAACTATCTTTTATTAACTCTTTTGGCTTCTGGAAAGCAATGCAAATTATTATAATATAAAATTGCATGTAGCCTACACAGCTTGTTTTTGGGTGCTCCGCTCTCTCTTTCACTGGAGAAAACACTGCTGAATGTAGGCCTAAATCTTGAATAAAGTGAATATTACTGATAACAATCTCATGTTGGTCAGAAACATGGAATTCTTTCTCTCTTTCCCCCACCAACACCCCCTGTCCCACGTCCTCCTCTTGTTTGCACTGACCTTTGATTATGCTGCATACATCTACAAAGCAGGAAATAGAGTGGTTTATTTTCCATTTCTAGCTTAGGGAGTTTAGAGAAAACCGGTTCACTGCTTTGTGTTTACATGTGTACAGTTAAGGTGAGGGCAGATTTTAACATTCTCAAAGATTGTTAGCCACAAGTTTATTTTGCAGAAGTTTTGCTGTCTGGTGGGATACTTGTTAATGTTGACTCTCCCCTCTGCCTGTTAAGGTGGTCATTAAAGATCACGTGGCACTCTTTGAAAAGAAAATGGAATTTCTCACAGTCTGCTGGACGACAATCTTCCAGCAAAATAGACCAAAAGACACTCTGCTCCTGATGCAATAAAGTAATCCTTGATGTAGTGCCTTATTACGTCTCCGAGACGTTTCAAAGCGGTTCACAGAATATACTTTAAAGTGAATTGACTATATATTTTGTGAGCGAAACAAAATCACTATCCCAACCTGGCCTTCTGAACCATAATAATATTATCCAACATTAACAAGTGTCCCACCTGGAAAATAAAAACCTAAATGGAGTAGAGGAGCATAGTGATCTAGGGGTACACATACACGATTCACTAAAAGTAGCAATTCAGGTTAATGATGCCATAAAAAAGGCAAACCACGCATTGGGGTTCATTTCTAGAGGGATAGAAATAAAAAGCAGGGATGTTATGGTAAACTTCTATAGAACCTTGGTTAGACCACACTTAGATTATTATGTGCCATTCTGGTCCCCACATCATAGAAGGGATATAGAGGCACTGGATTGAGAATTTCAATAAAAGTGTTATCTTTTGTTCCCAGATGACGGTGGAAAGAAACCCCCCCTCTCCCAGTCCAACATTGGGGATGACCAGTCTTCAGTGGCCAATTATTTGGACAAGTAAGTTAACATTTACCAAGAGCACTTTAGCCTTAAAGGGGTCATCTCACAGGGAACCTTATAGAGTGTACAAGGTAATAATAATCCTTGCATTTGGTATAGCACCTTATTACGTCGGAAGGATGTCTCAAAGCGCTTCACAGGATTTTTCTGTGAAATGGAGTCGACTGTGCAATTGTAATCAAACGATAAGTATAATAAAAGAGTAAAAAACGCTTTTTTATACACCAGGCAGCAGGACAAGAAGACACAGGTTTAGGTTTGTTGGGAGCCATTTCAAGGTAGAGACCCGGAAGTATAATAATAATACTTGCATTTGATGTAGGGCCTCACCACATCATTGAGATGCTTATCATGTATTTCTTTACAAAAAGGGTCATCGATTGTCTGCGGTCCTTTTGTACGCCAGTGCATTGACAATTCTCAACCAGACTCCCATGTTTCTTTGTCTTTCATGAGTGAATAACAAACAGTTTATAATCATGCAAACTCGAGCTGGGTTGAATATGTACAAGGAGCATGTACAACATCATTACTAACCAAGGCAGCAATTGTGGATGGCACTGGGTGCTTTGGACCAAGGGATTGCATAATAATAATAATCCTTGCATATGAGACATCTCAAAGCGCCTCGCAGAATACACTGGAAAGTGAATTGACTATATTTTGTGGGCGAAACGCGGCAACCAATTGCGTACTGTAGAGGACAAACAGTCGTGGATTGAGTGACCACATTTTTTTTTGTGTACATGAGAGCTCCTTGAGGGACATGCACTTTATGTCCTGAGGCTCGTTTTCCGTTTACATTGGCCTTTTTTAACCTCAGTGTTGGAGCAAGGCTGTTTTTAGCTCTGCACTTCCCTTATGTACCTTGCTGGGGGAGTGTCTGTCCCGTGCTGACTCAGGGTAGAAAAGTGCAACATGTTTGCTCTTATCTAGTATTTATAAATCAAACAGATTTGATTTTATCTGGCATTATTCCACAATACTAATGTATCCCATCACTGAATGAGGACACACAGTTATTGGTAAAATTGAACACTGGCCATTTCACTTAAAGGCACACCTGAGAAAGCCAAGCCTGAGAGCACGTCCTCCCCCAACACAGTTCCATGCTAGATAAGAGCAAACCGGTTTTACTTATAAACACAATATACAGTCGGGGTGACCTTGTACCCTTTTGATTTGTAATCATCAGTCGTTACTCACTCTCTAATGAATGATCAAACAGAATCCTGAGACCTGCTCTCATGCTGTGATATTTATTATAACATTACTGTCGTTGATTGGGGCAAATTTCAAATCTATCCTTGTCATTCACCATTGTGTTGGCCCCATTGTGTGCTTGTTGCAGTGCTGCCCTTCATCTGTCAGGTCTGAACTAATATCTGATTTATAGCTTCTGAACATGGCGTAGTATATTTTTATTCAGCCTTTCTCCCCTACCCTATGGAACTCCAGCCCAGATTTCCCTTTGCCTTGCTCCCTCGCTTGCGTTCTTCAAGGCATGTCTCAAAACCCTTGTCTTCGATCACGGTTTCAGCCACATCCCCTGCCCTACCCGATCCCAAGCACCGGCTTGGATCCAAATCTCTGACTGCTAGCGCCTTGGGAGATCCTCCCAACATGAAAGGCTCTATACAAATGTAATTTTTTATTGTTTATTTTACCAGTTTTCTTACTCCACACACCTGTTATTTTAGTGGATGTCAGCCATTTTAAAGATAAAATGTCTGTTTTCCCTTCTTGCTTTAATTGTCATTGCTTCATACAGCTGCTCTTGTGCTGCATGATGGCTGCTCTGTAAAGCTTTTTTGTGTACAATCAAGTTCATGAGCTGCATGACTGACTAATTTGAATATAAGTGACTACGATTGGGAAGGATCCCTTTCTGTTTTCCACTGACCGTGACTCTCGCATGGTATGTTGCCTCCCTGGTGGCAGGGAGAGACATCACGGAATGGGTGCAAAACGTTCTATAGAGGAAGGAATCAGTGCTGGATCTAGTTCTGAGGAATGAAGCGGGGCAAGTGGATCGGGTTTCAGTAGGAGAGCATCTGGACAACAGTGATCACAACATCATTAGGTTTAGAGAACTTATGGAAAGGGACAAGGAACAATCAAAGGTAAAGATACTCAACTGGAAGAGGGCTAATTACAGTGAGTTAAAAAGGAACCTATTTGGTTAGAGTTCAGGAGCTGGAAAGAAAGACTGGAAAGAAACATTGGCAAGTAAAACAGCTAATGGGAAGCCTTCAGGGAGAAAATAGCTCGGGGACGGAACAAATACATTCTCATAAAGGGGAAAGGTAGGGCATCCAAACCTCCCTGGATAAATAAGGAAATTGGGATTAAAATAAAACAGAAAAAGGAGGCTTATGATAAACGTCAGGTTCAAAATTCACAAGATAATTAAATGAAATATAGAAAGTACAGAGGAGAACTGAGAATGGAAATAAGAGGGGCAAAGAGATTGTATAAGAAAAGATTATAGGCATAAAAGGGAACCCGAAGGTATTTTATAAGCATATAAAGAATAAAAGGTTAGTCAAAGGAGGGTGGGGTCAATTAGGGACCAAAAAGAAAATCTTCTTGTGGAGGCAGAGGTTATGTCTGATGTACTGAGTGAGTACTTTGCATCTGTCTTCACAAAAGAAGGGGATGCAGCCAATGCCACAGTATTGGAGGAGAGGGTAGAGAAATTGGATAAAATAAGAATAAACCGAGAGGAGGTACTAAAAAGATTGGTACTCAAGGTAGATAAGTCACCCGGTCTGGGGGGGATGCATCCTAGGTTACTGAGGGAAGTAGAGTGGAAATAACAGAGGCTCTGGCCACAATCATTCAATCCTCCTTGGACACCGGGGTGGTGCCCGAGGACTGCAGGGTTTCTAAGGTTACTCCCCTGTACAAAAAGGGGCAGAAGGATAAACCCAGGAATTACAGGCCAGTCAGCCTAATGTCAGTAGTGGGGAAATTTCTAGAGACTATAACCCGGGACAAAATAAATTGTCACTTAGAAAAATATGGGTTAATAAAGGACAGCCAACATAGATTTGTTGAAGGCAAATTGTGTCTAACAAACCTGATAGAGTGTTTTGTTGAAGTAACAGCGAATGTGGATGAAGGTAGTGCAGTTGATGTAGTTTATATGGATTTTCAAAAGGGTTTGATAAAGTGCCACATAAGAGACTTGTAAGCAAAATAGAATCCCATGATGTTAAAGGGACAGTGGCAGCGGATACAGAGAGCTGACTGGGAGACAGAAAGCAGAGAGTGGTGATGAACGGATGTTTTTCTGACTGAGGCAACTGTGCAGGGGTGTCCCCCAGGGGTCAGTATTCGGTCCACTGCTGTTTTTGATCATATATATATAAATGACCTGGATTTGGGAGTACAATTTCCAAATTTGCAGATATACTAAGCTAGGAAAAATGGTAAACATTGAGGAGGATAGTAGCAGACTGCAAGAGGACATAGAAAGATGGTAAAATGGGCAGACACATGGCAGATGAAGTTCAATGTGGATAAATGCAAATTGATGCATTTTGGGAGAAAGAATGAGGAGAGGCGATATAAGCTGATGGTACAATCTTAAAGGGGATGAAGGAACAGAGAGACCTGAGGGTTCATATAAGTAAATCATTAAAGGTGGCAGGACAGGGAGATAAAGCTGTTAAAAAAGCATACAGGATACTGGGCTTTATAAATAGGGGCATAGAATACAAAAGTCAGGAAGTTATGATGAACCTTTATAAAACACTGGTTAGGCCTCAGCTGGAGACTGTGTTCAGTTCTGGGCACCACACTTTAGGAAGGATGTCAAGGCATTGGAGAGGGTGCAAAGGAGATTGACCAGGATGGTACCAGGAATGAAGGACTTCAGTTATCAGGAGAGGTAGAGAAGTTGGGATTATTCTCCTTGGAGCAGAGAAGGTTAAGAGGAGACTTAATAGAAGTTTTCAAAATTATGAGGGAATTCAATAGGGTAAACAGGAGAAACTATTCCCACTGGCGGGTGGGTCGGTAACCCGAGGACACTGATTTAAAATAGTGGTTAAAAGAAACAAAGGGGAGGTGAGGAGAAGATATTTATTTGGGGAGAACAAGGTTGCAGAGCTATGGGGGGAGAGCAAGGGAGTGGGATTGAATTGGGTAGCTCTTTTCAAAGAGCCGGCACAGACTCGATGGGCCAAATGGCTTCCTTCTGTGCTGTATGATTCTATGGTAACATGGGATCTTTAACATGCACCCATACGTATGCAGGCAGGGCCTTGCTGTAATGCCTCATCTGAAGGACAGCACTTTCAAGCAATGCAGTGTTCCTCCTGCACTGTGGAGTGTCATCCTAGACTGTGAGTTGAAGTCACAATGTGGGGTAAGGACACTGAAATTTCTCATCCAGAGTCAATTATTCTTTCAACTAATCCAACTTGACACCTGATGCATGTGTGTGGTTTTGGATCGATTTTCTTAGCTAAGAGTTCAAACGGAGGGCTTTCATAGCTCCAATTTCCTTACTTAATCAACTTTATAGTGAGCACCTTGTAAGACTTTTTTTTCCCCTCCCAGGGTGAGGATTTTCTGCTGTCCCCAAGCTGTGCTCTGCTTATAAATACCTGCAGTGTAGCTATGTTCTGAGTACCTGAGAGTGTGCCACATTCTTTAGCAAGGTGGGTGAATAGGGTACCTGTTCTTGGGTCTTCAGCAGTGTTCATTAGAACAAGGAATGCTCTGCCACTGGTGCATGATGAGGCTGAGGCCATACGAGAGTTCATAAATTATTTCAAAAGGTTATTTGATGCTTGAAATAAGAGGAATATTCAAGGGCAGCAAGTATGAGGGTGGCTCATATGGACAAAAATAACCCAACATATTTGACTTGAATGGCTTGTTTCTATTCTATAACGTTCTGTGATTTCAGTGGGAATAAGGTAGGTGTTTGAAGAGGAAAAAAGGATTGGAGAAGGATAGAGGAAAGATCAGGAAATTGGTGTTGAGAGTAGATCCCCGGAGTTCTGTAACAAAGTGGTTATCGCGCTCACCTCACAATCTAGAGGATCTGGGTTCCATTCCCAGGCAGGGTGAAACCTTAGGCAAGTTCCTTACTCCACACACCTCTGTTAACCTAGTAGTAAGTAGGAACCCGGTTGTTAGACAATTGGTGGATCACTTTCCCTGGGATAATAATCCCTTTAAAAACTTTTTTTTTTACTCAATTCACGACTGTTTGTGGGACACTGCTGTGTTCAATTGGCTGCTGTGTTTCGCCCACAACATATACAGTCATTTAACTTTGCAGTATATTCTGTAAAGCACTTTTGAGACTCAAAGCGTAATATTAAATGCAAGGATTATTATTATTATCCCTCCCATTGAAGCTAACGCCAGCACAGATGTGATGGGGAAGGAGCATGGGAATAGCGATATAGCGTGCAGAACTCCAGTGGAGAGAGGGAGCACTAGTACATCAATCGGGAAAGAGCGAGCGCGGTCGCTATTAGAATAGGTTATTCTTAAGGGGAGCAGACACCATGTCAAACATGATGGAGGAAAGAACAGGGAATTGGGATTAGAATCAGTCGCACTGAGGCACACATCTGTTGGGCCGAATGGTCACCAGTGCTGTAATATTGGGGTAATCTGTCTTTATTGCTGTGGGTTAAGCACTCTGAGATGCTACCCTGTGTGGAGGGCATTATGTAAGTGCAAGTTGTTGTTGGTTGCATTAGGTTTGTAATGTTTCACTTGATCTTTGCAGTTTGTGCATATTCTGTGGGGAGAGAGATGAATCGTTTACTGACGAGGGCTTGGACATCCATTACTGGAAGCATTGCCCGATGCTAAGACGCTGTGAACATTGCAAACAGGTATGACATCATTGGCAATCTTTAATGTTCTTCCCAGATACGGACATGTCATAGAATCATAGAATTATACAGGACAGAAGGAGGCTATTCGGCCCATCGTGTCTGTGCTGACTCTTTGAAAAGAGCTTCCAAATCAATCCCACACCCCGCTCACCCCATAGCCCTGCAAACTTGTCCTCCCCAAATAATTATCCACTTCTCTCTTAAATGTTATTATTGAATCGGCTTCCACCTCCCTTTCAGGCAATGCATTCCAATTCAGTAACTTTCGCCAACATCAACAACTTCTTTGAGATGTCTCAACGGGCTTTGCATAATATATTGTAAAGTGGACTGTATATTTTTATGGGCAAAACATTTAATGTCTGCTCTGAAGGATGGCCAACAACACAGTACATCCCCAGCACTGTATTGGGTTTACAAACAAGTTACTCAAGCAAACACTTGTGTGAGGATAAATAGAAGTAGGGGCAGAGGAAATGTATTCGAAGAAAGAGACATGAGGAAAGCAAAAATATTGGCCAGTCTGAAGCCTCAAAGAAGAGAAAAGAAGTGGAAAGAAACCAGAGAATGGTCACTGCTGTGAGATGCAAACTTTAATTGCCCCAATAACACATTTGCTGGGTCAATTAAATTTGTCAAGAAATTGCCCTGATAGCATCTAAATCCAACCATTCCCAGGTGTTGTCTGGCTCCCCAGGCTCCCCGCTTTGAGATTTTCTGAATTGCCACACCAAATCTAATCAGAATGAGTCCCTTCTTACCCTCCTCTGTTGGGTTTGCTGTAATAGCAGTAAAGAGGTGTTGGTTTCAGTCCTCTTGGCAGTGGACGGTAAAAGAATCAGGCAGGATTATTGCTCCTGATCACTATTTAATGTTCACCTGCAAAAACGCAGTCAGTACTCTTTACAGTAAGCCTGTGAAGCACTTTAAGACGTCCTTAATGAACCTTATAAAATCTATACCCTCCTCATCTTGCTCGGTAATCCACACCATCTATGTAATGTGCTTTCCAAGCGAGAGACCTGAGTTCAATTCCAGGCAGAGGGCGAAACCTTGGGCAAGTTTCCTTACTCCACACAGAGCCTAATAATAATCCCTCCAAAACCAAAAAAAATAATAAATTGGTCATTTTCAATCTACGACTGTTTGTGGGACATTGCTGTGCGCAATTGGCTGCCGCGTTCGCCCACAAATATACAGTCAATTCACTTTACAGTGTGTTCTGTGAAGCGCTTTGGGACATCCTCCTGACGTGAAAAGCGCTATATCAAATGCAAGGATTATTATTATTATTATTAAGTGCTTTGAGACCACACGGTTCAGTCCGGCTCATGTGGTCGTACCCCTGTGTGACAAGGTTATTAATTCAAGCCCATGTCAGGACTTTGAACTCAGTCTATGCTAATATTCCAATACAGTACTGGGGAAGCGTGGCATTGTCAGATGGGACCTTGGTTTAATGAGACATCCCATCTGTTCTGGTGAACATTAAAGGTCTCATAGCACTATTCAAGAAGAAGGAAGTTTTCCAGAGTCCTGGCCAACAATGTCCAGGATAAAATTAATTGAATTCACTTTATGAGATATTGCAACTTTGTAGCCAAGTTTGCTGACAAAATACAGTCACTACATATTAATAATAATATTATAATAATCTTTGCATTTGGTACTGTGCCTTATCACATCATTGAGACATCTTAACATTCCACAGGATATACTGCAAAGTGGATTTGACTATATTTTGTGGGCGAAACGTGGTAGCCAATTGTACACAGCAATGTCCCACAAACGACCGATTGGGCTGTTTGTGGGACATTATGAGTGACCAATTATATTTGGGGAATTGTCGGCCAGGACACTGGGAGAGAGAAACTCCATTCTATTTTCCAAGTACTCACATGGGATCTTTAACGTTCACCTGAACAATCAGACGGGACATCAGTTTAACATCTCATCCGAAGGACGGCACCTCCAACAATGCAACACATCTCCAGCACTGCATTGGAGTGTCATCTTAGACTATGTGATGCCAAATCCCGATATGGGTTTTGAACCAACCTTCTAACTCAAAGGTGAGAGTGCTACCACTGCACCACGTTAAAACATACAGTAAATGCTGCATAGCAGGGAAAGGTATAATATCAAATACAAGAATTCTTAGTTACAATCCGTAAAAGTGCATGTTGAAACACACCACCCCAACCCTCCAGTTGGAAACGTATGTAAAAAAAAAAGCATAGATTTGGGATGAGCCTTGAATGGTTAAATAACTGGCCAGTATCTACTGCCTTGGCTCACAGAAGAATTGCCTAGCAAGAGTCCTTATTGACTAATATATAAATCTAATTTGTGCATGGAATGCTAGATATCATGGAATGCATGTTTGCTCTCTGCTTGGCCTTATTCTTATGGATAAAGGACTTGCACTCTCTGCTCCTTCCTCAAATAAGGAGTCTGATATTCCAGCAACGTGCTAAAATAATGCAGGAGACATCAGGGCCATCTGTCTCAGAGGAGCAGACTGAAAGGTAGTATACGTCTCCAACATGACTGACTTTTCCTACACATCAACCCTTTAAGAACTGTGATAATAGTTCTTTATAGATAATCATTAAAAACGATATTGTGATGCAGTAGAACTGGTCATCTTTTGACGCTTAAGTTAATCTCACTTGGTCCCAAGTTCAATCCTTCATAAACTCCCAACACATGCAACTCTACAACCTTTCATCATCCCACATATCCATTACTCTAATCCTTACCATCTGTTTCCAGTATCTCCGTGGATTAGCTTTCATACCCTTGTCTAAACCCTCACTATCCCTTCACCTCTCCCTATCTATCCAGACCATCTGCCGTCCTGACTTTCTCTTCACTCTGTCAGACATCAAATCCTGGATGAGAGCTAACTTTCTTCAGTTGAATGTGAACAAGACCGAGGCTCTCCTGATTGTTTCCCGTCAGCACCTCCACACCTCAGGCACTGACTGCATCACCATCCAAGGATGCATACTCCACCTTACTGAACCTGCATCTTGTTTGACTCTTAAGTATCCTCTTTTCTACCCACATCTGTGCCATGACCTGCTCTGTCTTCCCCACCTCCGCAACATCATCCGGCTGCACTACTGTCTCATACCGCAAGCCCCGAAACCTTCATACACCTTTCATAATATTCAGGCTTGACTATGCAAACTCACTGCTTGTTGGCTTCCCCAACTCCTCCCTCCACAGGCTGCAGCCCATGTCCCCTCTGCAATATTGCCGAACTCTGCAATATTGCCGGCCTCCGCCACTGGCCTCTCACCACAGACTGCCAAGAACCGCTTCCATTATGTCACGGCTTGACTATGCCAACTGCCTGCTCGCTGGACTTCCCAACTCTTTCCTCCACAAGCTGCAAATTATTCAGAACTCTGCAGCTCGTGTCCTCTCCCGCACCAGGCTGTGGAAACTTATTACCCCGTTCTTGCCTGGCTTCACTGGCTCCCCATTCCTCAGAGAATCCAGTACAAAACCCTCGCTCCCCCTCACCTCTCTGACCTCATCCCTGTATCAGCCTGTCTGATCCCTCCGCTCGGCGGACACCAGCTGCTTCAGGTCTCTGCACTTCCCGGCCTACCATTGGCGGTCGGACATTCAGCATCTCTGCCCGCACACTCTGACACTCTATCCCGCAATCCCTCCACCTCACCCCCTCTCTTGCCTCCTACAAGTCCCGAATGAAGACCTTCCTCTTTGACCGTGCCTTCGACCACCCTCCCATCCACGACTCCCCCTGCCTTCCTCCCCTTCTGACCCCAACGCCCCAGCTCGTTCTTGATCTAAATAAATAAACCTGGACTTGAGTAAATCTTTGAAGGTGGCAGAACAGGTAGATAAAGCTGTTAAAAAAGCATACAGAATACTAGGCTTTATACATAGGGGCATAGAATACAAAAGTCAGGAAGCTATGATGAACCTTTATAAAATAATAATATATAATAATTCTTGCATTTAATATAGCGTTTTTCACGTCTTCTAGACGTCACAAAGCGCTTCACAGAATATACTGTAAAGTGAATTGATTGTATATTTGTGGGCAAAACCGTAACAGCCACTTGCAAACAGCAGTGTCCCACAAACAGTTGTGGATTGAGCAACAAAATTATTTTATTTATTTACTTTCTTGAGAGATTATTGTCAGATGTGTGGAGTAAGGAAACTTGCCCAGGGTTTCGCCCTGCCGGGAATCGAATCCAGGTCTCTCGCTTGCTATAACCACTGTGTTCAGTTCTGGGCCCCACACTTTAGGAAGGATGTCAAGGCATTGGAGAGAGTGCAAAGGAGATTTACGAGGATAGTACCAGGAATGAGGGACTTCAGTTATCAGGAGAGGCGAGAGAAGCTGGGATTATTGTCCTTGGAGCAAAGAAGGTTAAATAGAAGTTTTCAAAATTCTGAGGGGTTTCGATAGAGTGAACAAGGAGAAACTATTTCCACTGGCGGGTAACCCAAGGACACCGATTTCAAATAGTTGCTAAAAGAAACAGAGGGGAGGTGAGGAGAAATGTTTTCACACAGCGAATTGTTCGGATCTGGAATGTATTGCCTGAAAGGGTTGTGGAAGCCAATTCAATAACAAATTTTAAGAGAGAAGTAGATAATTATTTGAGGAGGACAAGTTTGCAGGGCAATGGGAAGAGAGCGGGGGAGTGGAGTTGATTTAGAAGTTCTTTTCAAAGAGCTGGCACAGACACGATGGGCCGAATGGCCTCCTTCAGTGCTGTATAATTCTATGATTCTATGATTTCCTGTCAGAAAATACCCCTTGCAAGACATGCCTGCTTACCTGCTCTATTCTAACCAGGTAGTGGAAATAGCCAGCCTGACGGAACACCGAATGACTGAGTGCGACAAGAAGGAAAGCTTCGGCAAATGCCATCGATGTGGTGAAGCCGTGATGAGGGATGAACTTCAGGAACACCTCAGGGTCAAGAACTGCAATGGTGAGTCTTTGTCATCCCAAGAAACAGCAAGCACTGGAGTTTGTACTAGTCTGAAGATTAAATGTGTCTTGATTGTTTTCAAAACCTTGTGTTTATAATAATTAGATTAATTTATTTATTCTTCCTGAAATTTTGGTGTAGTTATTAAAATGGCATGAGGTGTCAGCCTGGCTCAGTTGGTAGCATTCTCACCTCTTGAGTCAAAAAGTGATTCAAGTCCCACATCAGGGTTTTGAGCTCCCAAAGTAAGATTCCAGTGCAGTGCAAGGATTTTCATGGCTACATCTTCGGAGCTGCGGTCCTTTGGATGCGATACATCAGCCTCATCAGCCTGTTCAAGTGAACATTAAAGATCCCATGGCTCTACTCCAAAAGAGAAGGGAGTTTCTCACTGGCCAGCAATCCCCCAAATAATTTGGTCATTCACGTTGTGGCTCTTTGTGAGACGTTGTTCTGCGCAAGATGGCTGCCATGTTTGCCAACAACAACAACAAGATTACATGTGTATAGCGCCTTTCATGTCAGGAGGACGTCCCAAGGTGTTGGACAGAGTACAGCATTTCAGACTCGAGCTGGGGTTGGGACGGGAGGGGAAGGGGGTGGCCGATGGCATAGTTGAAGAGGAGGGTCTTGAGGCGGGACTTGAAGGAGGCTAAACAGGGGGCGAGGCGGAGTGACTGAGGGATGGAATTCCAGAGTTTGGAGGCAGAGTGGATGAAGGCTCTCCCACCAACAAAAAAACTATCACTACACTTTACGTTGAATTCTGTGAATCACTTTGACACATCCTCGCCACGTGAATGGTGCTACATCAAATCCAAGGATTAAATGTGTTGATTGAACTTTAACCGAAGCTTTTTCTTTGGGAATCCCCTCCCTTATTGCAGCAAATAGTCTTCTGCATGTCAGGGCAACTTAGTGTGCTGTGATGAGCTGCTCACAGAAAGTAGGCCTTAAGCAAACTCCTGCACGTCCCTTGTGCCCTCCGTTCCATCAACGGTGGCCCTGCTTTCAACCCTAAAACTCTGGAACACTCTTCCCCTATCCCTTGGTCTTGCCCCCTCCTTCCCAATTTTCAGATCGCGCCTGAAGACCTTGCACTTCGTCCATGTCTACGGTCACCTCAGCCCGGCTCGGCATTGTGCTCCGTCACTGTTAAGCGTTCTGGCACCCCGCCCTGCATGAAGGGAGCTGTATAAATGCAAGTTGTTGTTATGTAGTCTTCTGTTGATAAAATGCAACCTACGTGGCCGTACCGGAAAACAGTGTAATTTTAAATTACAGTGCTCCAATTTTATTTCAAGCCTCGTCCTTTACCTCATGTACACATTATTTGGGGAGTATGTACACAGAATACATCCTTTGTAGATAGGCAGCGGGGTGTAATATGCGATGATTTTAAAACCGGATTCCTAATTAAAGCTTTAGAAAGTTCCATCATTGGAAGATAGGAGTAGGCCATTCAGCCCCTCAAGCCTGTTCCACTATCCTATAAGATCACGGCTGATCTGTACCTCAACTCCAATTACCCGCCCTTGCCCCGTATCCTTTGATATCCAGCACCGTCCATTGTTGGAGCAGAGTGAGCACCTTGAATACATTGTGCTCGATGGAGAAGTTCATTCAGATGCCTTACTGAAAGAACACAACAACAAGATTACATGTGTATAGCGCCTTTCACATCGGGAGGCCCTGGGACCAATACCAATGAGACTTAGATTCCAGTGGTTGCTTAATGCACGTTTATCCTAGCACAAGACTCATCCTCCTTACGTCCATAAGGTGTTTGATGGAGCAACGTGCAAAATTATGTTTGGAGATAACAGGGCCACCAGTCTTTGAGGACAGACTGAATGGTAGTAACAGTCTCTGACATCACTGCCCAAAACATACAGGTTAAAGCCTAGTCCTGTACCTTATGTACGTAGAGGTGAATATATATTTTCAATAAATAGAAAAAAAGGGTGCTTGCATTATTGTAGTGCCATATCACCTAAATAGCCTCAAAACACTTCATAGTAATTTTTGGTCAAATATAGAGCCTTTTTGGGGGGAAAGCATGGAAGTCATTTTGACACAACAAGTTCCCATAAACATCCTTAAGCTGAATGATCAATTTTACATAGTCAACTGTTGGTCGGGAAATAGGGGAGAAATACCCTTCTCTTTTCTAGTATTGTTGACATATACTTGGAACAGACAAACGGTCTGGTTTAATATCTCATCTGAAGGCCAGTACCTCAACTCTGCATTGGAATCCACAGAGTTAATTTTAAAAGACGAGGTATCTGCCTGCATTGTATTACAGCATTGGCCTACATAATAGATAGCTCCTTTCACAGTCCCTGTGAGGCAGTGTACCTGTCTCAGAGGTGCACCTCCAGCAAGATTGGCCCAATTTAATTCTCCTCTGTTGTATCAGAGAGAAGAATAGATTGGTGTAACACTTCATTTGCGTTACTCTGACGTTAATATCTTGTAAATGAATCCTGGTGAACGTCACTTTTTAATTTGTCTCCATTTTGTTCAAGACAACAAGCTTACTGAGATCATTGTTTTGGGTTTCTTTGTATATCACAAATATTCATTTCCAAACTACCAAAGACAGGCCCAGGGGCAAGTTGGGCAACATCCAAACATTGAATGTTGCTATACCTGTAAAGATTTGCACAATATATTGAAGAGATATGACCATGTTATTGCTGAGACTGGAAATAAAACCTAGTGAGACTACATTTGAGAAACAAACTGAGGATCTATTGCTATTATTCCCTTTATCTGATCAATACTATATTACATTCAAACAAGTGTCTTGTTTCTGGCCACTTTTTAATCTCAGTGATATACTATCAGCTCAGCTTTAATGCCACTGGTACAGCTCCCACCCACCTTTGGGTTGGAAGGTTATAGGTTAAAGCCTCATGTCAGGACTTGAGGTCACAGTCCGTTTGATGCTCCAACACTGTACTGAGAAGAGTGGTGCCATCTTTCGGTTGAGACCTTGAACCAAGAGATTGAACAGCAAGGGATACAGGTCCAGGTGATACATCAGTGTGAGTTTTGATTTCAGAGCCCAGTAATCTCTCATGCAAAACAAACTTTGGTCACTCATTCCACAACTGTTTCTGGGACACTGCTGTGCACAATTGGCTGCCATGTATCGCGCTCAAAATACATAGTCAATTCGCTTTATGCTATATTCTGTGAAGCGCTTTGAGACGTCTCATCAACATGATAAGGTGCTATATCAAATGCAGGTATTATTATTAAGATTCTGTCTACCTGTGGAGGTGGACTTTAAAATATCCTGTTGAAGAAGAGAAAGGGGTTTCAACCTCACACAAAGGCCCTGGCCCCATTTGGCCTGCTGCCTTACCACATAATAATAATAATCCTTGCATTTGATATAGCGCTTTTCACGTCGGGAGGACGTCCCAAAGCGCTTCACAGAACACACTGTAAAGTGAATTGACTGTATATTTGTGGGTGAACGCGGCAGCCAATTGCACACAGCAATGTCCCACAAACAGTCGTAGATTGAAAATTACCAATTTATTATTGTTTTGTTTTTTGGAGGGATTATTATTAGGCTCTGTGTGGAGTAAGGAAACTTGCCCAAGGTTTCGCCCTCTGCCTGGATTGAAGTCAGGTCTCTCACTTGCAAAGCGAGTGCTCTAACCACTGAGCTACAGGACTCCTGAAAGTACTGTTCTGAATTTATTCCCTCACTCTTATTCAGCATCCTGTAGCTCAGTGGTTAGAGCACTCGCCTTGCAAATGAGAAACCTGGATTTGATTCACAGGCAGGGCAAAATGTTGGGCAAGTTTCCTTCCTCCACACGCCTTTGTACCTAGCAGTAAGTAGGAACCCAGTTGTTAGTCAGCTGGTGGATTGCATTTCTGGGTGTAATAATTCAAAAATAATAATAAACATTCGATCCATGAATGTTTGTGGGACACTGTCGTGCTCAATCGGCTGCTGCATTTCACCCACAAAGTGTACAGTCAATTCATTTTACAGTGTATTCTGTGAAGCGCTTTGAGACGCCTTGCATCAAATGAAAGGATTCTTATTATTTCTCAGGGCCTCCCTGCCCAATCTGGCTGATTGCCTCATATTGGTTCGTTATTCACCTCATAATAAATATAATCCTTGCATTTGATATAGCATTTTATTACGCCTTTGAGACGTCTCAAAGCTCTTCACAGAATATACTGTAAAAGTGAATATTTTGTGGACGAAACGCAGCAGCCAATTGTGCACAAGTGTCCCACAAACAGTCATGGATTGAGTGACCACATTTTTTTTTGGAAGGGATAATTATCCCCAGAAAGCGATCTGCCAATTAACTAAGATCCAGGTTTCTACATACTGCTAGGTAAACAGGCGTGTGGAGTAAGAAAACTTGCCTAAGGTTTTTCCCTGATTTGATCTGATTTTGATCTGATTTTCTAGAATATCCACGCTACAGTCTTCCTGTTAGAGCTGTTTAAGAGTTCCACTTGTGTCAGTCCCCCTTTCTGGCTGTTGATTATCCTCTTTAAAAAATACTTCCTGCTTTCTGCCCTAAACTTTACCCTCACACCCACTTGTACTTCTGCCTCACTGAAAGTACTGTTCTAAATTCACTTCCTCAATCCTATTTAGCAATTTGCATCTAAGATCCCCTCTGAGGTTCGCAGAGTTGCCTCTGCAACATTATTTACTAAGTGCCCAGCAAAGGAGGAATGTGTGTGCACGGCACCAGTCGTGGATGTTTGCGTACATATTAGGAGTTCTGAGCAGATAGTTTATCTACCGAGTTGCAATGTTAGAACAAAATGTAAAGAATTCAAACGTGTGATCTGGAAACTGTTATAAAGTGCTGTGTACTGATTGTAAGCCTTTCTGCAGCTGCCAAGCCTGAAAAAGTAGCCAACCACTGTCCACTATGCCACGAGAATTTCCAACCGGGAGAGGAGGTAAGAATTTGAATGAGCAAGCTTTGGACAGGTCGAGTGCTAAGGTTTGCTCTTCTCCATCAATGTACAAAAATAAATTAATTGTGGTAACTGTTGGAGTTTTCATCCTTTGGATGACATTTTGCAGACTAGGACCTTTGGATTCCAACAATTTTATTTCCATGTGTTTGTGGGATGCATGAAACCCTCAGCTTGGTTTAGAAGCTTTGAAGCACAGTGATGGGTTTCTGTATGTGTCAGACACCCGGCTGACCTTTGGATGAGACGTTAAACCGAGGTCTTCTTTGCTGTTCAGGACATTAAAGATTGTGTGATTCTATTGCAAAACAGCTTTTCTGCCAATGTCCTGGCCAATGATCGTCAAAATAAATGTCATTCATTTTCATGGCTGTTTAATGCTGTGCACAAATTGGCTGTAATGTTTGCCTGCAAAGATACTCACATACTTAAGAGCTATTACCCAACGGTGAAATGTTGAAGGCCCATAACAAATGAAGCATTTATAACCTTTGAATCATTAACTTGATTCCCGTTACTAAACCTCTACTTGCTGCGGCTGATCATTAATCCCTATTGTGACATAACTGTTACTGCTGGGTCAAGCATGAAATACTTCCTTGTTTACATTGTGGGCAGAATCCAAAGCACCAGGTCAGCAAGGGAAAGCTGTCAAATCAGATTCAGGTAAGGGAGATGCATGCGATTTTTATTCAGTTTGTTCCAAACGTACATCACAATCTGTTGCCCTTTAGGGACCATTCCTGGAGATTGAGTACATTTCCCAGAGGTTGCACTTAGAAAGAAAAACAGGCACTTTATCATGTTGAAACAAGTGATTTCTTCTCGATAGTTATTGTCTTAAATGTAGAGGCTGTTCTCATAAGGGAGAGCCCCGAGGGTGTAGTGGATAGAGCTGGATCTTACAAACCAAGTCCTCAGCCGTGCCAGGATTAGGATGGGAAAACCAGCCAGGATTCCTGTAAATGGTCCCTTTAAAGCACTTTCTCCTAATTGTACCTGTGTGCGGTAGCCACGTGGGCAGAGGTCAGGCTCACCTGTGACACCTTCTACAAGTCAAGTGGCGTGCTGAGACTCACTGCCAAGTCTGGCACACAAACCGTCATCTCTTGTGCCGGCTATCGGAGGCAGCCAGAGCCTTAGAAACTGCACCCTAACATGAGCAGGCATATACTTAAGAGCTATTACCTGACGGTGAAATGTTGAGGAGAGACAAGAGACAACATCTGTCAGTGAGGAGAAAGTGAGAAATAAATAATTAGACATACTATATTTTGAAGAAAAAAAGACTTCTTATAGGCAAATGCAACAGATTTGTGGGAGATGATACAAAGCTAGGAAAAGTAATAAACGTTGAGGATAGCAGCAGACTGCAAGAGGACATAGATAGACTGGTAAAATGGGCAAATATATGGCAGATGAAATTTAATGCCAAGTGATATATTTTGGGAGGAAGAATGAGGAAAGGCAATATAAACTGATGGTACAACCTTAAAGGGGGTGAAGGAACAGAGAGACCTGTGATTCATATAAATAAATCCTGGAAGGCGGTAAGATAGGTAGATAAAGCTGTTAAAAAAAACACGATACTAGGCTTTATAAATAGGGGCATAGAATACAAAAATCAGGAAGTTATGATGAATCTTTATAAACACTGGTTAGGCCTCAGCTCGAGACTGTTCAGTTCTGGGCACTGCACTTTAGGAAGGATGTCAAGACCTTGGAGAGGGTGCAAAGGAGATTTGCCAAGATGGTACCAGGAATGAGGGACTTCAGTTATCAGGAGAGGCAAGAGAAGCTGGGATTGATCTCCTTGGAGCAGAGAAGGTAAAGGGGAGATTTAATAGAGGTGTTCCAAATTTTGAGAGGATTCGATAGGGTGAACAAGGAGAAACTGTTTCCACTGGCGGGTGAGTCAGTAACCCAAGGACAGATTTAAAATAGTTGCCAAAAGAAACAGGGGAAGTCAGGAGAAAATTTTTCACACAGCAAGTTATTGTGATCTGGAATGCATTGCCTGAAAGGCTGGTGGAAGCTGATTCGATAATAACTTTCAACAGAGAGATAGATAGATATTTGGGGAGGACAAGTTTGGGGAGAGCGCGGGATTAATTTAGGCAGCTCTTTCAAAGAGCCGGCATGGACACGATGGGCTGAATGACCTCCTTCTGTGCTGTATAATTCCATGATTTGGATTGTAGGATTGTTGGCACGGACAGAGAGAGAGAATCCCTTCCCTTTTTTCAACAGAGATGCAGGATCTTTAACATTTTTATAGGTCCCTTCACGCAAAGTAATGTGTCAGAGAGCTTAAACAGTGGTGTAGCTTGAATCCGAGGTGCGGGGGAGGGAGTAGATGACTGTAAACACGAGGAAGATCAAAGAGGAAGATCTTTAGGTGCGATTTGAACAAGGTAAAGGAGAGGAAAAGGCGGGAGGATTGAGGGAGAGAGTTCCAAGGTGTTGAGGCGTAAGTGGTTGAAAGAATGGCCGCCGGTGGTGGAGGGAATGAAGAACAAACAGGAGGGTGGTGGAGTGGGGAATAAGCAGATCGTAGAGATAGGGCGAGGCCAGGGCATGAAGGGATTTGTAGACGAATATGAGGATTTTGAAGTCAATCGGTTCTGTGATAAGGAGCCAGTGGAGCCTGGCGAGGACTGGTGATGGGGGTACGGAGTTAAGGGCGGGTTAGTATGTGGATGGTTTTGGCTGCGTTGGGTGTGAGGTATGGTCGGAGGTGGGAAATGTGACAGCAGAGGTCAGAAGTCCAGGACCTCTTCGCACTTGGCGTTTGATGTAAGGAATTAGGGTGCTTGAAAGGGTGATGTGGAAGTGATAGGTGGTGAAGGACACACTTTGGGGTTATTTTTGGCCACCAGAATGACCTGGCAATAGAAGGCAGTTTTGGTTTTGTGCAATCTGAGCTGTAAGCGTCCACGTTTGGGATATAATGGAGCGGAGGTGACCCCACTAGCTCCCTATAGCAGGGAAAGCGAGTGAGTTTGGAGACTGTCCTGGATTTCAGGGGTGTGGGGTGGGGGGCAAGGGAATTGATGGTTGAGGAGAGGCACTGGGTTAGAAGGTTGATGGCTGCAGGAGGAAGGCCAGAGGGAGAGGCATTAATGCCCTCCTAGAGACTCGGGGATCTCAGTTAAACATCTCTTCGACAATATTGCAGTTTTGCAGTTCAGTTTGTTTCGAAATGATGTACAACAATAAGCTGGACTCAAACCAAGGGATTCTTGTTCTGTTGCCACAGACAGACACTTGGGGTGTAACAGGACCCTATCTATATTGCACTTTTGGGGACTGATGGGTTTGGTTATTCAAAGAAAATTACCACTCCCCAGAATATGGTATAATAGGAGCATTATATACTCAAGAATATTTTGGCCTTGAAATAGTATCAAATTAATGGTGAGGAATAAGCCTTTAGATGCTCTTTATTTTTAGCACTTTGAATAATTATTATAATGTCAAAGTATCAAATGATCCAGGCACTCATCAATTCTGTGCTCGAGAGTACAATGCAAGTACAAATGCATCAAACAGCGAACCTCCTCTAGATAGAACTATGCACCACAATAGCACAGACCTGAGGGCAAGTTGGATTGAAATCTAAGATGCTGTGTATTACTGGAAATGTTACCCTATGGAGCCTAGTCAGGATTAGAGGAGAGGAATTCCACCTGGGTCTAAACATAACTTTTTATTAGCATTTCAGAACCTGCAAATTTTGGACAAATCTTAAGTTTGGTGTTAGTTTCCGTCCTTCAGACAAGATGATAAGGGGAGGTCCTGTCTGCCTGTTCAGGTGGACGTTAAAAATTCCATTGCACTATTCAAAAAGAGAAGGGACTTTCTTCCAGTGCCCTGGCCAACAATCCCCCCCAAATTTAGCTGCTGCGTTCTCCCACAAAACAGTCAAATTAATTTACAGTGAAACAAATATGCTTTGGTTCTTCATTATTGTTCTGATCTCCAGATAAAGAATGATTTTTTTTTGGGGGGGTGAGTCAAAGGAAGCAAGGATTATGACATACTCCAAGGAAGGAACAGATGACTGATTGCATGAGAGTGAATTGCTTTCTGAGTCATCTTCTGCTTATTCATTCTGATACACGTACAACTCGCCAACTAAAACTTCAACCTCTGGAACGCTCTGCCTCAATCAGTCTCTACCTGTTTTCATATTGCAACTGAAGACTTTTGTCTTCGACTGTGCCTACGGTCACCTCCACTTACTTCCTCTCTGGCTCAGATAGAACTTCGCCATTGTTCAGCTCTCCGAGATATGACTCAGTGAAGGACACCACATAAATGCAAATTGTTGTTGTAAAACTACATAGATTACCATTGCAAGGTAATCTCCCCACTTTCAAATCCCGCCTAAAGACCTCAGACTCCGCCACTGTCAAGCTTTTCGGGACCCTATTCCGCCTGAAGATATATAAATGCAGGTTGTTGTTGTTGGTGTCTTGAGAAGCTTTTTGCTGCTTGTCCAACTAGGGCCATCCTTTCTATTAGGGTTTGGCTTGCAGGGTTAATAGGAACTGACTGGGAACAATCCTTGCCTTAGTGACTGGTTTGCCTGCAACATACACAGTCACTGCACTTTACACTACGAGGAGTCCTGTTAGCTTAAGGTTAGAGCACTCACCTCACAAGCGAGAGACCTGGGTTCAATTCCCAGCCAGGCGAAACCTTGGGCAAGTTTCCTTACTCCACGCACCTGTTAATAATCCCTCAAGAAAAAAAAAACAATAATTTGATCACTCAATCCACGACTGCTTGTGGGACGCTGCTGTGCGCAATTGGCTGCCGTGTTTCGCCCACAAAATATACAGTCAATTCACTTTACAGTATATTCTGTGAAGCGCTTTGAGACATCTCGAAGAGGTGAAAAGCGCTATATCAAAATCAAAATTTACTGCAGTAAATTCTGTGAAGCACTTTCAGACATCTTTCTGATATGAAAGGTGCTTTATTTCATTCTGGATCTGGACAAGAGAAATGCGAGATAATGTGGATCTGTATTAGCATCGCACTGATCCTGAAAACATTTCAAAGCACTTTTCAGTAATTACTGTTGATTGAAATGACTTTTGTCAATGATCACAACAGCCAAAGTCACACTTCCTTGAGGTGAATGGTCAATTAAGATGAAGGATTGTTGGCCAGGAAGAAACTCTTTTCTCTTTTCAAATTGTGACACAGAATCTTCAACATCCACCTGAAGAAGTAGCTCGATTTAGTGTCTCGTGTAATAAATTGTACATGTATAATTGAAATCACTCAGAAAGCAAGAGAAAACAAAACTTAACCTTTGAGATTTTGTGACAAAACAATCAGTCTTTTGTTCCAAAGTATTGAGTAACAATTTAAACCCTGTAAATCCACAGCGTTGCTTTTTATAGACTAGTCTGCACAAAGGTTTAATCAAATGCATTAAAATGAAAGAAGTTGCCCTTGACCCCCAGGGCAAGTACAGAAATGTGTCCGCGAGATGATGGGTGGAAAATTACATTTCAGGAAGAGTTGAAACTACTTAGTAAAAAGATCCATCTTAAATTGAGCCGCCTACTAATCTTCTGTCATTTGCATACAGCCGGAAGCGGAAAAAACTACATTTATATTGAACCTTTCACGTAAAAGAAACCTGTCAAGATTGAGTTTAAATAGAAATAAAATTAAATGAATGTAGTGTAAGCAGCTAATTTGCACTCAGCCCTCTTGTCCCTGGAGGTTGAGGGCTTAATTCCCATAGCAAGACTTGATCTTAACAGAGGATTGAGCTCTCAATTTAGGGGGAAGTCACATTAATTAGAATTGTAGGAGGAAATCTTTCTTAATGTTTGACGGTAATTAACAACTGGAACAAGTTGTCAGGAAGGGTGGTTGAGGCCAGAACACTTGAACAAAACAGTTTGAGTTTTGAGGCTGTGCTGGGAGGAAAGGAAGGCGGCTGTTCTATAACGGTGAGATCAGATGGGCCAGAAGACCTTCTTCATCCAAACATCTATTGTGATCAACAACTTGCATTTAATAAAGTACTTTTCATTCAACCAGCTGGAAGCATTTTACTGAATTGATTCAAATTGAAGTGAGTTGTAACAGTGGCAAACACGGTGGCCAGATTGTGCAAGTAACAGCTGCACATGGAGATAAGCTGCCAATAAATTTTAATTTGGGGTGAGTTTGGATGAGGAGAACTGAGAAAAACTCTTCTTCTCTGGGAAATTGGGGGGCGGATTCCATTAGCCAGAATCACAAGACAAACAGAATCTAAACGCAAGCGGTGTTGGGAATGTGCAGCTCGGTATCATAATCACCTGAGTACAAGAATGATTTAAAGTGCTCTGTTTAAAAGGTGTTTTTGTGATATGCCGGGGGGGGGGGGGGGGGGGAAGACAACAACAACAACTTGCATTTATATAGCGCCCCTCACGCAGGGCAGTGTCGCCGAGCGCTTGACGGTGATGAGCCTGACACTGAGCTGGGTGGAGGGGGAGGTGACCATAGGCACAGTTGAACAGAAAGGTCTTCAGGCGTGACCTGAAGATGAGGAAGGAAGGGGCAAGGTGGAGGGATAGAGGGAGTGTTCCAGGGGTATACTGGCTGAAAGCGCGGCCACCGATGGAGGAACAGAATGGGGTTTAAAAAGCCCATTTTGCATTATGTACATCACCTTCAGTAATATCAGACTGTAATGGAATTTCCCATTTATAGTCACATTGCGTACGATTTGTAACGGAATTGCTCCCGAAAGTTTTCCTGATTGGCTACGTGGCACATCTGTGGAAACTGTTTTGTATTTCGTGCGTGGGGAAAACCGTGCAGAGAATCTGTTCTGTGTAAGAATTCAAGTGGATGTTCTGCAAATCTGAAAGATTACTTTCAAGGCAACGAGTTGTTTATACTTTGCGTTCCTTTTGGATGTTTTCAGTGACAAAGTTAGAAACACCTCCCAAAGCCATGTAGTTTTCATACATTCATCACTTCGAAATCTCTCCTTTTCTCCTTCCTCTCATATTAATATTTTTCTATTTAATAAGCTTGACAGTATCACCTGGAGACTGGGTTCAAGTTCAAAGGTAGACTCTTGTCCCTTTCACACAGTTCAACCTTTCCCTAGGAATTTTGGCATTTGGAATATTGACGTTCTCTAGCAACAGAGTTGTATTATTGATGAGTGCTGAAGCACACAGGTAGGGAAGCCTTTACACAAGCAGGGGCCTTGTTACCAAAGCACACTGATGAAATCCCATTCCTAGGGACCCATTAACCTCAGACTGAAAAGGCTATACATACAGTTCGAGTCTATCCAAATGCAAGTAGAATGGGGCCCCAGGACATTCATGTTTGCTTCATTCGTTTCTGCTGGATGTCCTATTTCTAAACGAATCCCACACACTGTGTGACAACAATAAGCACTTATACAGTGTCTTTCACACAGGATCTTAAATCGCTTTGCAATTGTATTGATTACTGAGCAGGGAGGAGGGGGTTGTGAGTTTGACCAAAGGCACAATCCTACTGATGAAAGGTGTTTATAAATGTCAGCCTAATCCCAACATGAGACCTGAAGTCTTTGGCATTTTTATATCTAATTCATGCTACAAGTTTGGTAATAACATAGTCAATGCAGCAATTTGGTAAATGCTGCATTTAAAATAAGATGTAATGGGATAAATCACTGGTTGCAGCTCTTCCTCCAGCAAAAGGCTTGAGCTGGCTGTATGAAGCCCTGGCTTTGTACATTGAAAGGGAAAATGATGCTATCTGGCACACCCAGGCTGGCACTGTGTGGCTTGTTGGCTTGAACCGAGACCTCTGTCTGCGTCTCTGCTCCACAGGTTGCTGCTCACAGTCAGATTGTGAACTAACAGAAGGTTTCTTGTTCTCTTTCCCCCCCCCCCCCCAAACTCCACAGGTCTGGAAAGTACATCTCATGGGGAGAGAGGGCTGCAAATTAAACCCCCGTAGGATACAGGCATTACAGAGGACCCAGCACCTCCAGCAAGGTAAAGCATAATGTGCAGACCAACGCAGCTTTTACAGCTTTAACTCTTTCATTGATTTCAGCACATATGGACCTTGAACAAAACCTCACACTATCAAATCACTTCAGAAAGTCCATGCTTTTAGTAAAATAATAATCTTTGCACTTGATAGAACGCCTTATCGTGTCTTCGAGACGTCTCAAAGTGCTTCACAGGATATACTGTCAAGTGAATTGACTATATTTTGGGCGCAAAACATGACAGCCAATTGCACGCAGCAGTGTCCAACAAACAATCGTGACCAATTTTTTTTTGGAGGGGGGCGGGTTTGGATGGATTATTACCCTCGGAAAGCAAACTGTCAATTGAATAACGACCGGGTTCCTACTTACTACTAGGTAAACAGAGGCGTGTGGAGTAAGGAAACTTGGCTAAGGGTTTGCCTTGGTAACCTGACCAATAGTTTGCAGTGGCTGAGCACGTCTTGTACCTGTTTGCCAATGTGCCGTAACCTACACAATTTCAAGGGGTTAAATGTAAAGCGTTGGCACAGTGTTTCACCTTGTGCGCACAGCCCTGCAAACTCGCCTTTGGATATGAACTGCTTTTAGATTGTTTACACAGATTAGATCTGTTAATGAAGCAAATCCGCATGTTAGATTTCACTCTTTTTTTCTACCCACAGGCAGCAATTTAGTGGTCCATTAGTTACTGAGGTCATCATAAGGTTGGTCTGATCTGGTCTCCCCACCACCACACTTTTATTAGTATATGGAGCAGGTTTAAGTGCTCTGAGACGTTACCCTGCGTGGAGAATGCTATATAGGTTCAAGTTGTTGTTAAAGTTGTTCAACATTTACTTAATGCCATTTAGTTCTTTAAAGTAAACCAAGCTTCAAATGCCATTATACACGGTCTTGACTTCTTGGATTTAACTGTCAAGCATGGCTTCAGGGAGCTGTGGGGGATCCAGCATCTCGGGATGTGCACCAAATCCAGAAACCTTAAATTGCCTCTCGTTGTTCCTCCACTTCAGATCTGCTCCGAGGCCCGCCTGCTGCCTCCGTTTCTCATTCACATTTCAATAGACCCTGAACAACACTGAGCAGCACTGCTGACAAGGATCGTTTCACGTTGGGGCAAATAGTCTGTAACCAGCCGTCCTGCAGTCTGCTTCGCGCAGTATTAGTGTGTAAGCCAGCTAGCTGCTCACTCCTGACACACTGTCTTTTGGCAGCCATGGTTCCCACTTCATTTGAAGCGCCAGTTTTGTCAGCAAATAAAATCTGATGTTAGTTGTTTAATGGATTCCTGTTATTAAACTGTGTAAGCGTGCCACAGCTTAATGCCTGATAGAGGTGTTTGAAAATAAGAAGGGCTTTGATAAGGTAAACAGGGGGAATTGGTTTCCACTAGTTGTTGAGGCAGCAGCTAGGAGGCATTATGATTTAAGATTGTTTTGGGCTTATTGGGACGTGGGACCTTTAATATAGCACCTTATCATGTTGATGAGAGGTCACAGAGTGCTTTACAGAATATACTCTAAAGTGATAAAATGACTATTTTGTAAAATATGATAACATTTGATAAAAGGGAAATACACGAATATTTAAAGTAAGGAAAGTATATATATATAGAGAGAGAGTGAGAGCTGTGTGTAGTGTTTGCCAGTAAAGGGCAAAGGAATGAAACTAAAAGCGCAAGATTTTCAGATATCTGACACCATGGCACATGGGCCCACTGCTTCCACGCTCTGCTTTTACCTTGTATGGCAGAGCTCAGTGACATCATCTGCAATTACTCACAAATTGGCCTTTACAGTTGGAGACGGAAAAACGATGTTAGACTTGTATTTAGTATTCAGGCCCGACAGAGGATTACAAATTCCGCTAGACAATCGGTGAGGTGGTTTTTGATGTTCCCTTTGATGTTGAGCAGACAGCAGTTTATTCCATTGCGTGTGGTCTGGAACTACAGCACATTTATAATAAAAAGGTTCTTAAAAAAGGGATCAATGTACGTGCTGTTTTCTTTAAATCTAGCTTTGTCAGCCAACAACAACAACAATAACAACTTGGATTTATATAGCGCCCTCCATGCCGGACAGCGTCTCGGAGCGCTTCACACTAATGGATCCCGGGGCTGAGCCAGGGGGAGGGGGAGGAAGGTGACCAAAGGTGCGGTCGAAAAGAAAGGTCTTCAGCAGAGACCTGAAAATAGGAAGGGAGGGAGCGAGACGAAGGGAGTGAGGAAGGGAGTTCCAGAACCTTGGAGCATAGTAGCTGAAGGCACGGCCGCCGAGGGTGGAGCGGAGAACTCGGGGTACGAGGAGGAGGCCAGACCCGGAGGAACGAAGGCAACGGGTACTGTTTTGAGGAGAGAGGAGGTCAGAGAGGTCGGGGGGTGTGGCAGTGTTTGTGTGCAGAGTAGCGCAGGGCCTTGAATACGAGGGTGAGGATTTTGAAATAGATCCTCTCTGGGACAGGCGGCCAGTGCAGTCTGGCGAGGATCGGGGAGAGGAGTTTGGTGCGGGTGAGAATGCGGGCGGCAGAGTTTTGAATGATTTGGATTTTATGGAAGGTAGTGGATGGGAGACCGGCGAGAAGGGTGTTGGAGTAGTCCAGCCGAGAGGTGACAAAGGCATGGACCAGGGTTTCAGGGGCTTTTGGAGAGAAGTATTGGCGGAGACGGGCGATGCCTCGGAAATAGAAGAAAGCAGTGCTGGTGAGGGACCGGATGTGCGGGAGGAAGGATAATTGGGGGTCGAACCTGACACCTAGGTTGCGTATGGGTTCGGAGAGTTTTAAGTGGAGGTCGGGTAGGTGGAGGAGGTGAGAGCCGTGAGATTTTAGACGTTGACAAGAGCCAGAGTATGGCCTCTGTCTTGTCAACGTTCAGCTGAAGGAAGTTTGCGCTCATCCAGCCCTTGAAGTCTGGCAGGCAGCTGACAGAACATCAGGGGACTGGGGGTCGCAAAGAGAGATGGAAAAATAGAGTTGGGTGTCGTCTGCGTACATGTGGAAATGTCTGCGGATTACATCCCCAAGAGGGAGCATGTAGATCAGAAAGAGGAGGGGGCCAAGGATGGATCCTTGGGGTACCCCTCAGGTGACCGGGTGAGAGCGGGAAGAGAAGCTGTTTGTGCAGATGTACTGCTGGCGGTTTGTGAGGTAGGATCTCCTAACTCACTTCATTACTATTTGTGGGACAACAAATTCCATAATAATAATAATTGGTCACTCAATCCACGACTGTTTGTGTGCAATTGGCTGCCGCATTTCATCCACGAAATGTGCAGTCAAATTACTTTATGCAGTATATTCTGTGAAGCGTTCTGAGACGTCTCGAAGGCGTGATAAGGTACTAAATCACATACAAGGATTATTATTATTTGTATAGAGCCTTTCACGTCAGGAGGACAGTCCACGCCGCACCAGGGCACAGATTGACTGCTGCATTCACGGACAAAATACACAGTCACTACACATTACAGTAAATCATGTGAAGCACTTTGAATCCTCCTCCAAAGGTGAAATGCGCAATAACCAACCAGAGTATAATAATTGATATAATTTTGTTTTCTTTCTGGTCAATAGCAAAATTGGGAGCATCGCCTGTTTCCCGGCCCATTCCCATAGCAGTGAAAAGGCGGTCACCAACCTCGGGCAGTAAAATCCCAGCTCCCAAAGCCGGACTGAACAAAGCCAGACACAAGACACAAGTTTATCGATGACCTCACTCGATGCAGAGGCCACAGTGCAGCTTCAAGCCTGATATATAACCTCTGGTGGAGAGGAAGGGAGGGGAGAGATCAGAAGGGGAGAGAGACAGAGGGATGTAGGTCCCCACCTGGCCCGATCGCCGTGATGTTCAAGAAGTGTGGCTGTTAACCGTGAAAGTCGACATAGAGAAAAGAACCTACAGAGAAACTAGTCAGTGCGAGGTGGATGATAGCATTGCTTTGTGTAAAATGGGTGTTGGAAGAGGAAACTGCAAGTTTATTTAAAGCTACATTGTGAAATTACCGTGAAATTACTCAAGAAACGCATTTGAAGAGAAAATGGGCTTTAGTTTCGATATGTATGTATAGATATATATATTCACACCCAGTGTGGTGAAGCATAAATACTCAGTTGTTTATGTTCAAAATGTGTTTGAAACCTCTGCTGTTTACTTCCTCGCCGAACGATGAGATCGCTATCTGAACAACTTTAGTTTTGCTCGACTTGGCTCCCAGGCAGCTCAGCCATCTGCTCAATGATCCTCCGAGTGAAACTCAGCAATCGTTCTTCTCACCCACTCCCACTTGGACGTGCATGAGCATTCACACGTGAAAACAAATTGCCTCCTTTACCATCAAGCAATGTACAGTTGGTGCTCGATCGATGCCTTAACTTAATGTGCTCAACTGTCAAAAGTTAAGAAACATTGAGAATTCATCTATTGCAGTGCAATGGGACAAACAATGGGACAAACTGGCCACTGTTGGTACCTGATTGTTTCCATGTCTAGGAACTTTATCCCTAAAATCAGTGGTCATGGCAAACCTCCACTTCAGAAGTTGTGTGGGAGGCAATTGCGTGAGTGCCTCTGGAGCTGAATTTGTGGTCGTCTGTGAGGGTTGTGTGTTGGTCACCTGGGGCAGGGATTTTTCCCACTCAACTCATTAGCCCTGCAAGCCAGAGCTCGAACGGATAGGGTGTTCCAAGCTGGACAAACATCGAGAAGCTCACCGAATAATTTTATATGTGGGTTTAGCTGATAGAGTGAGCATTCCATTCCAGACACAGACATTTTTCTGTGTAGGCGACATACATACATGGAACTCCGTGTCATTTGGATAGTGTTAACCACATGTGTGAGACACCCAGCTGACCAAATCAAAGAAGCACCATTCTCCTTCAGAAAGGCGTGTGGTTCGTGGGACTCGCACAGGAGCTGCTCCTGTGAACACCAGAAGGCTGATAATCCTCGCTTTAAACTTCAGACTATTGTACAGTTTAAGATCGAATTTTCACTTACCATCTGAAAGGGATATGCTGTGTCAACCCATCATGTGATGCATGAAAATAAATTGGTTAGCCCGTTAACAACAACAGCCCTCCACACATCTCAGAGCATTAAGAGCTCGTTATAGCTCAGCATTAGAGCTGCCAGTACCACACTCACAGGAAGGTAGTGTTAATGATAATGCAAATGCGATTTGCAGCTTCAATTTTTTTAAATCTCCTTAGTTTAGGGAACTTAAAGGTGATGTTAAGCTTTGAGACAGCTGCAGCCTTTAACTGTTATTCCTCTCGCATTTGACGGTCTTGCTCTGAAGAATTTTAAACGACAATTTGAATTCTGGCGATTTGCAAACTGGTGCCAAACATCCTGACATGTAACACAGTTACTAAGACATCCATTCATTTATCGTGGAGCAGTTTCTTTCCTTTCGGGTTTGAAGTCACAGCAGTTAAATCGCCTCAATAATCAGTTCAGTTCATTTCTAAATAGTTCTGAAAGTAAGCAATATTTTTGTAGTTACAAGTGGTATTTTGACATTCAGATTGACTTTCAATGTACAATGCTTCAAGACACTTAGTTGAGTTTTAAATTATTATGACTATTCAGTGTACAGCAATGTGTGTGAGTGGGGGGTGTGATATATGAATGTTTGATTCCTGATTTACATAAGTACAGTATATTTAAATAAAGTAAGTGAAAACCTATTTAATATTAATTTCAGCCTTGCGTGTTTTCCTGTTCTGTGCACATAACATTTCCATAACAACAACAACTTGGATCCTGGGACTGAGGTGACCAAAAGCGCGGTCGAAAAGAAAGGTCTTTGGCAGAGACCTGAAAATGAGAAGGGAGGGAGTGAGGTGAAGGGAGTGAGGAAGGCCGTTCCAGAGCCTCGGGGCATAGTGGCTGAAGGCACGGCCGCCGAGGGTGGAGCGGAGGACTCGGGGGACAAGGAGGAGGCCAGACCGGGAGGAACGAAGGCAACGGGAAAGGTCTTTGGCAGAGACCTGAAAATGAGAAGGGAGGGAGTGAGGTGAAGGGAGTGAGGAAGGCCGTTCCAGAGCCTCGGGGCATAGTGGCTGAAGGCACGGCCGCCGAGGGTGGAGCGGAGGGCTCGGGGGACAAGGAGGAGGCCAGACCGGGAGGAACGAAGGCAACGGGAAAGGTCTTTGGCAGAGACCTGAAAATGAGAAGGGAGGGAGTGAGGTGAAGGGAGTGAGGAAGGCCGTTCCAGAGCCTCGGGGCATAGTGGCTGAAGGCACGGCCGCCGAGGGTGGAGCGGAGGGCTCGGGGGACAAGGAGGAGGCCAGACCGGGAGGAACGAAGGCAACGGGTACTGTTTTGAGGAGAGAGGAGGTCAGAGAGGTCGGGGGGTGCAGAGGAGTGCAGGGACTTGATTGATCCTCTCTGGGATAGGCAACCAGTGCAGTCTGGCAAGGACTGGGGTGATCGGGTTTGCAGGTGAGAATGCGGGCGGCAGAGTTTTGAACTGATTTGGATTTTATGGGTGGTAGTGGATGGGAGACCGGTGAGGAGGGCGTTAGAGTAGTCCAGCCGAGACCTATCCCACCCCACAGTGGTATACTTTGTCATTTATTCATTCACACATTTTCATGCCCACATTGCAGGGAACACTGTACATCTTGAATCTCACGTGGTAGCTGTAATACAGAAATCTCTTAATAAGCTTTTGTCTAGCTTTATTCAATCGTAAGGACCTATCCAAATCTCCCCCCAAAATCAATCTGAATTTTTCTAAGGCATTGTAAACTACAGCCGTTGCTGTCTATCGCTGCAGCATATTGTGCTCATGATTAGCTGTTCAGTTTTCATTCCGTGGCATGTGTGAAGGAACCTGGATAAGCAGCCCCAGTATAGAGCAGCTACATTTGCTGGTGACACCAAATTACCATCCAACTACAATGGACTGTAAAGTAAGAAGAGGATCAACCAATGGCTCAACGAGGAAAGCCGGTATCTGGTCTGTGACTGGCAAATTAGATTCAATACAGACAAATGCAAGAAGTTCCAAGTAAGAATAGGCCTCAACTGTGGTCCATAGGTGGAATAGAATCTGCCAACGAGGAAGCTGATCGTGATCTACAGGTGTTAGCTGACAAGTTGCTCACCATGTTAAGACAGTGTGGGACAGCAATAAATAGCAAGCCGGTGCTGGGCTGATTATATTGTCACAATCGATTGATTTCAGATCCACAGGTGGCAACTCAAGCTCTATGTTGTTCTGTACTATGTTGTACTGCATGCAGTCCTCCAGCTACTCAGGCCCTACAGGCAGAGGAGAGCAATGGGCACCACACTTTAGGAAGGATAACAAGGCCTTGGAGAGGGGGCAGAGGAGATTTACCAGAATGATACCAGAGATGGGGGACTTTAGCTATGTGGAGAGACTAGAGAAGCTGGGATGGTTCCCAACTTCTTAGAGTAGAGAAGGTTAAGGGGAGATTTAATAGAGGTGTTCACAATGATGAGGGGTTTTGATAGAGTAGATAGGGAGAAACTGTTTCCACTGGCCGGGGGGTCAGTAACCAGCGCACAGAGATTTACGGTAATTGACAAAAGAACCAGAGGGGAGATGAGAATTTTTTTTACCCTGAGAGTTGTTACGGTCTGGAATGCACTGCCTGAAATGGTGGAAACAAACTCAATAACAACTTTCAAAGGGGAATTAGATAAGTACTTGTAACAGAAAAAATTGCAGGACTATTGGGTAAGAGCAAAGGAGTGGGACTAGTTGGTAGTTTTTCCAATGAGTTGGCACAGGCATGATGGGCTGAATGGCCTCCTATGCTGTAATATTCTATGATCCCCAGTGTAAACATTTCTTTACTCAGAGAATAGTTAACTGAAGCAGGTGGCCATGAGGGTGGTTGAGGCCAGGACACTGGAATCATTTATGAAACATCTTAGAACATAAGAATTTGCTGACAAAAAAAGACAAAGGTCCAAATAATTTGCCTTCCACCGTCCTGGCAGTCGCTTGACATGTGTCCCAAATGATGTGACATGTGTCCCAAAATATATACTGTATCCTGAGATATTATTTTCTAGCAGAAATCTGTCTAACTTATCAGAAATGCTGTGCTGGGAACCCATACACAGGGTGGATATTCTGGAAAGACGAGATCAAATGGGCCAAAGGGCAAAAGTCTACTGCATTAACAAAATTAACAGGCCAGGTGCCAGCTGTTTGTCCAGTTAGACCTTTGATAAGAGACTCGTGGTTAAAATCAGGGAATGCAGAGTCGTGAGAGAGATAGCAGAAGAGATTTCGAGAGGGAGAATAGAAAACAAAGGGTAGAGGTGAAGGGTAAATTCTCCGACTGGTACGAAGAAGTGAATGCAACAGTCCTGGCTTTATATCAAATATTAAGCAGTTTACCAGACTCTGGAATTCAATCCGAGCCGGATTGGGCTCAAAACCAATTGTTTCTTAAGTATCCACGGACCTGTGTACAATACAGACTCCTATAGCCCAACTCTCCTAGTGGGTGCCAATGCCACGCTGAGCAGCCCACAAGATGTCCACAGCTCCCCACCCCATTGTCCTTTCTCCGGCGTAAATAACTACTTTTTATAATAATAATAATCCTTGCATTTGATACAGGGCCTTATCACGACTTCAAGACGTCTCAAAGCGCTTCACAAAATATACAGTTAAGTGAATTGACTATTTTGGACGCAACGGTAAAAATGCCCTTGAAGTGGCAGTAAATGTATTTAAATATTTTACATTTATGGCATTGTAATTAGACCATCCTTCCTCCCCCCCCACCATGTTAATCCTGCTATCTGGAGTTTATCTGAATTTATTTAAAACCTTGTGTGGACTACATTTAGATTAAAGATGACTATTATGGCATATAAATAATTATAAAAGGTGCAGGAAAAGATCAGGTCAATGGGATATGGGATTAGAGTAGAGAGCTCCAGTGGGGGAGCGAGCACCAGCACAGACACCATGGGGGGAGAGAGAGAGAGCAAGCAATTAAATACATTAATCCCAAATTGTGCCGACTGTGTAATTCATAATGAGGGTGACGGGAAGGTAAAGGGCAAATGTGTTGAAAAGAAGCTTTCAAGGGCTAACCGAGAGGGGAGAGGCAGGGCAAGCAAGACAAAGGAGAAAATGGGGTAAAATGAGGGATGATGAGTTAAAGAGGTGATAATGATGCAAAAAACAGAGAGGGATTGCAATAACGCAGGGGAATAGAGGTGTTAACACTACGGAATAAAAGGTGTGGGGTGGGGGAAGAACTTGCAACAAAGCAGGCAGATCAGCGAGAGAAAAGGTGAGTCTGGGACCTAGTTGATGTAATGGCCACAGAAGAAGGGGAGGGGAAAAGTAAGCTGTTATGGTCTGAAATTGTTGAAATCAATATTTTTGTAAGTTGTAGGTTCAAGACCAAAATTACATCTTCGAACTAACAGTCCAGACTGATGATATTCCATATAATGACCTTGGAGAGGCTGCGGAGGAGATTTACCGGACTGGTACCAGGGATGAGAGACTTTAGTTACATGGAGAGACAAGAGGAGCTGGGATTGTTCTCCTGAGAGCAGAGAAGGTTAAGGGGAGATTTAATAGAGGTGTTCACAATGATGAAGGGTTTTGATAGAGTAGATAGGGAGAAACTGTTTCCACTGGCCGGGGGGTCAGTAACCAGCGCACAGAGATTTAAGGTAATTGACAAAAGAACCAGAGGGGAGATGAGAATTTTTTTTACCCTGAGATTTGTTATGGTCTGGAATGTACTGCCTGAAAGTGTGGAAACAGATGCTGCCTGACCTGCTGAGTGTTCCCAGCGTCTTCTGTTTTTGTTTACTCATTTACAATTTGCTTTTTTTCTGTTTCACATTAGTTCAGCAGGACGTCTTGCATCTCTCCAGTTGATGCTTCCCCCTCCGAGGTTACAGGTTAACACATAAATTGTTCCAGATCGCTTCCCGCTGTATGGCTGGATTCGCTTCCATGATTGGAACAAACTGATTGTGGACGCTCAGGAGAAATGAAACCCAGAGAGCCACAGATGAGAATTGAACTGAATAATTCCACAAGAAGTTGGATTTAGTATTCACTCAAACCATTGTTCAATTACTCTGAGTATAAAGAAATACTTCCTGGTGATTGTTCCAAAATAACCCTTTGCGACTATGTCCTCTTGTTATATAATAATAATAATACTTGCAATTGATATAGCACCTTATCATGTTGTTGAGATGTTTCAAAGGGCTTCACAGAATATATCGTAAAGTGAATTAACTGTTTTGTGGGCGAAATGTGGCAGCGAATTGCACACAGCAGTGTCCCACAAATAGTCGTGGATTGAGTGCCTAATTTTTTNAAAGGATTATTACTCACGGAAAAAAGATCCACCAATCGACTAACAACCGGGTTCCTACTTACTGCTGGGTAAACAGGTATGTGCAGCAAGGAAACTTGCCCAATGTTTTTCCCCGCTCGGGAATCAAACCCAGGTCCTCTTGCTGTCTCGGTGAGTGCTCTAACCACTATGCTAAGTCTGAATTTCAGAATTGTCCACAAGTTATTTATTTAGTTGGTATATTTAGTCCAGATTAAGTTTCAGTGTTTGCATGTGGACCATATTCGACATACAATTTAGTCTTTCTTATCACCCACAAGTGAATCACTTCAGAAGATGCTGTATGATGCTTTTAACCATCAAAAAAAAAAGC